AAACCAAAACTTCGAATTAATTTAGATTCCAATATCACTAAGTTAGATCATGACCGCATTGAAACAAATGCAATCAAGCACAGAAAGCGAAGTAGTTTGTAGTTCAATACCTTAGCAAACCCCTCAGCTGTTCCGGTCTGCGTACCAAAAAACACGGTGACCTTAACTTTGCCAGGGTCAACGACGTCCTCCTCCTCAGCCTCGGCCTCCACTGCCTTGTGGACGACCGCAGGCTTCACCTCCTTGCTCCGATCGCCGGATCTCTTCCACACAAATACGAGCAACCCAATGACGACGGCTAACGACGTCGTCAGCAACACCGCCACAGTCTCATTCCCTATAGACACTCCCAACGCCGACTCAATCGATCTCACCAGCTCCGAGGTCGACTCCATATCCTCCTCTTCCTCTCTATTTCTATGTATCTGTCTCCCCTTAATATACGGGATTCGTTTGGTAGTAGTTGGCAGGTAGGTCCAAAGCAGAATTATTAACCTCCTGATTTCTCCCTTGCTCCGCTTGAAGTCCCTAGATTTCAGGAAAAGGTTTCCTCAAACCAGAAACATCGCAGCGCCGCTAGATGGAGGCGGAGGATGCCGGATCGATGCGGCGGAGCAGGGGAGGAGACGAGAAGTAGCGGACAAACTGATGTCCTGGACCTGAAAGGCTATAGCTTTTCGTGCCACAAATAAAGTTTCCTCTTTTTTTTCAGGACAAACGTGAATTTTAAAAAATAAAAAAGTTTTACCGTATATATATTCAAAATCTTAAAAAATTTAAAAATGGAAAAAGGTAAAGGACTAAAGGCTGCTCCCTCGATTCCTCCATTAATTACTGTATCTTGGAAACAACAAATTTTGATTAATTTCTTTCTTTAAATGTTTCTCCGTCCTAAGAAAATGTCATTATTTGATTTTATAAATATTTCATCTGTTCTAAAATTATTTTTTTAATTATTATTCATATGTTCAAACATACTCACTTACTTTGTTTATTTTATTAGACATTTAATAAAATAATATAGTCATGTCACCTATAATTTATAAAAATTTTATGTAGTTTTTAAATATCTCCATTTATTTTTAAATTTTATATTTATAACCAAATAAATTGTATTGAAAATGAAATTAGTCAAACCTTGTAAACTGAAACGAAAATTTAATTTTAGAACAAATGGAGTAAATAATAGTATATAAAAAATTATAATAAATTTTCTATAAAAAATGTAATATGACTATGTTATTTTAACAAATGATAAACGAACAATTAGTCAAGAAATAAGAAAAAAATTGACTTGTGTATAATTATGTGCAACAACTACACGATATAAATTGGGGATATTTTTGTCTGCTCTGCCTATCTATAAACTTTGTTCTAATTTAACATTAGTATTAGTATTAGCATTAGTATTACGAGTGTGATAAATTTAACATTAATATTTTTACTTATGTAAAGACATATATAATAAATATATGATAATTTTTGTTGGGTTTGATCATTCTATTAACTTTTCCTTACATAATGTGAATTTGTTTATTTATTCTATTTTATGAAAAAATATAGAGTCTCAGGAGTAAAGCTGATCGTGAATATTTGTCCATTTTTTATTTTTTTGGTCAAAATTGGTAAATTTTGACTTCAAATTAAATCGAAATGATATTAGATATTGATATAAAATAGTTTCATTAAATTTATTCTATCAAATATTTTTAAAATATTATTTTATCTGATTAATATACAATATTTTATTTAATTAAGTAAAAAATTAAAAATAATTAATTAAAAAAAGTTAAAATTAAACAAATACTGATAGACGGAAATAGTACATTTAAATCTTGGAGAGAGTACAACAATCTTTGCCATACTTTTGACCGGCCATTGCGGACCGGAGTATTTCAAAAAGTCTCAAGATTCATTAATCAAAAACGAGTTGTTTATTAATTTCCCATAATTGTTAGGGAAATATAATTAAAGTGGGAGGTTGAGATGGTTGGTGGATTAAATAATGGTTTTGCCAATGAGACGTAGCCGCGCGGTAGGTGAACCACCTTTCTATTAATTTCTATTTATGTTGTCTCAAAATATATACTCATGTTTTAATGTTTCATGAATAAATAATTCTCACTTTGGTTTTATGGAATTAAGAAACATGTTAAAAAAATATTTCTCCTAATCCTACAAAAATTTCAGTTGTTATTAAAGAGTCAACATAAAATATAAAAAAAATTAAATGATTAAATTTATTACAATGTTTTGTAGTTTTGTTAATATTCCATGATTATTTTTATTTGAATTGATATTGACTCATATTAAATTTTAGTTTCTTACTTACTTTATTAGAGAGTATACAACAATAACCAAACTGACATAACTAGCCCCTAGAGGTGTGTGTGGAGGTCATGCACCTATAATACATTACTCCGTAATTTCTTACTTTATTTTTTATAATATAGTTCATTTTCAATTATTGTTTATAATTTTTTTAAAACAAAGTATAATACGTTTTCATTTAGCGAAAGTACTTTAAATTAACGATGTGATGTGAATTACTCTTTTTGCTTGTCTAGCAACAAAATAAAATATGTTTTCAACAATGAAATTAATATTGTAAACAAATAAACTGTGAAAGAACATTGTCTAGCTTGTAAATGTCATATGATAAATATATACAATAACATTGTTCATCCAAATTTATTATAAATGACCAATCGTATATAGACAAATAGAGAAGAATTCTTTTTTATCTAAATCTGAGTACACGGACATTTTTTTGGTGAATTTTTTATTTTTATAATGTAGTGCTTTAATTATTACTCCGTATTATTATTGAAATAAAATGAGTATCCCCCCTACCCCGTCATTTTTAGATACACACAACTTGTAATTATTTTAGTATATAAAGTCATGTATTGTAAGATTATTTTTAGTAGTCGAGATAACGTTCATTCTTTATGTGAACTTTTTTCAATTTAAATTATTGATGTCTCTTTATCTACTACTCACTTCGTCCCACTTTAGATTACAATATTCTCTTTTTGTTGAAATTAAGGAAAAGTCAAATCAAATTTTTTTTCTCCAAATTACCCCAAGTGGCCCACTCACATGGATGAATAGTATGTGAATAGTGTATGAGTGGGAGGGTAAAAGAGTCAATTTCTTGTAAAGTTATTGACTTTGTAATTCTTTTTGGGACAAAAATGTGAGAAAATATTGTAATCTATTTCGGGACGGAGGGGGTATTTTATTCAAACTCGAGTTAGTAGCATACAAGCTAATTAAAGAAAAAACTACATTATCGATGTCAATGTAAAAATGTGTAAGAAAAAGTAATAATGGGTGCCTTTTTTTATTTGGAGAAGTTGACACCTTAAATTTCCCAACACTAACATTAGTTTGAAGGAAAACTTTCAAATATATGACACTAATCTATTGAGTTTTTTTTTCCTTTTTAAATACACATTCATTATATTCATGAATTGCGAAAATATTCTAGTCAATATAGAATATTTTATCAAAATACAAAGAGTTATAAATTAATAAACTCATTTCTTTTGATGTTGTAGCCAAGTTTGAATATTTATTTGCATGTGTACCTTGGATATTCTTGTATTATTTCTCTTAGTTTCAATTTTTTGTATTATCCATGCACCTAGATCTCCATTGCCACATATCTTCCCACGCATCCACACATTGTCTTCTTTCTCCATCTCTCATATCAAATAACATTCCATGAAGTTTCAATGTATAATTACGTACATAAAAAAAGAAAGTGGCTCTTCTTTCATCCAAATATTCTTATTCCCGTGTATAAATATAGTGAATTATTACACAATATAAGTTTATAAATGCTAAGTTATAGTATAACTTATTTCGATTAAAATAGTAAGTCAAATTTAAAAGATAAAATGTATAAGTTAATTTAAAATTTTCAAATTTCTTTGATTTAAATATTTGACCATTTAAATAACAATCTATTCATTTCATGGTTTATATACTGCGAATTGAAGAGGAATTTTTTGTTCTAACAAATAGGTTTAAGGTTAATGTACATGTCTTTGATGTCTATGACCATGCCTCTTTTATTCTTTGGGACAAAGAATTCAAAGAGATTTTAGGTGCAAGTGTCTATCTTCTAAGAGAGATGATGTTTGAGGTATCTAAAATCTATCAATATCATATTCAGTTTCCTGAAATCTTAAAAAAAGTCTATTCAAACTAATGGTGGTAGAGAAAAATGAACTCAAATTTGTTTACAATGAAGCTCAATCATTTAATTGGGCAAAAGAGTTTGTTTAACATGGTCTTGAAGTTAGAAGGTGGGAGTCTTCACTGGAATGGTCATATGTCTTTTGGTGTTCGATCTTTCGTTTCAGATTCCAAGATTTTCAAGATGTATAGATATGTAACTAAGATTGTCGTTGGAGGCTCCAAAGAAGATGGAGGGGCACACATTTGTGGGGGCTTACGACGGGGTGTGGGTGGGGGTTTAGAGATGAGTTAGGGGGTAGGAATCGTCAATTTTACGAACGGAACACCGGAAGTACCCCAAATGACAGTGACATCGCTAGTGTTACCAAACATGGGTGTCACTAGAACCCAACCGTTTTTAAAATGTTAGTTATACTCTTGAATTATTTAGTCTTGACTCTAATGCGTGCCCATTTCGTCATGCCCGCCTCACGTTGCCTCCACCGAGGCGCCATGCGCCATTCTGGTGATGTAAGCCGGGTGTGGCCTAGCCCTTGTGTGGTGATAGACATGTGACAAGCTTATTTGATTTTTTTAATCAATCAAAATAATTTAGATTTCAAATGTCACTTATTTGTGTGACTGGTCTTTTAACACATACGGAGTATTTTCTCAGGGAGTCTGCATCTGCTTGGCCGTGACTAATCTCTCTTCCATTGATTTCTCTGCGAATCAAATTGATTTATCAGCTATTGATTTGTATCATGATTATCAATATATATATATGCAATCCACACAGATGTAAAGGCATTTATAGTATTCATAGACTCCCAAAATAGATAGATATACCGTATATATATGCAGCAGAGACTTATCACAGAACCATTCTAGCTCCGATTCCTGGCAGACTCCATTCAATCTTCAAAGAAAACCCGCCGAGTTCTAGATCGCGAAGTCTAAAACCCTAGGAAAAGCTTCTGATTGCACCAGAGCCAGTCGATTCAATAACGCTGATGATTTTTGCCGCCAGTTAAAGACGTTTGTTTCAAATAATCATCTCTGTGATTCGTGTGAACCGGTTCCCGTTCTTCATTTGTTCTCATCCTTCCACAGGGATTGAGAAACGAGAGAGTGAAATGTGATGAGAGGCTGGAATATCAATTTGCACACTCTATTGGATTTTCATATCTTGATCGTGTTATCATCTCTCCAGGGGTAGCATGAACATTGTCAAAGGTGTTGCTGACCTTTTACGGAAGGGATCAAGTAGCTATGGGGGTGACAATAGGTCGGGGTCATCACGGTTGAGATTCTCTCCTCCATCTCCAATAATTCGGTTTAGGTAATAATACGTCCAATTGTTTTACAGCTCTTTAGTTGAATGCTGTGCTTCTATAGCACACTCCAGTGTTCATTATCCACTAGTTGGAACTGATTACATTCACACTTACCTTCATTCATTCAACCTGAAGTCTATGAGTTTAAGTCACTTTTGGACCACTCTCACTTGTTGATTTCCCCCCTTTACAGTGACATCGGTGATGAGTCAATTCTAAATGCACTTTGGGGAAGATACGAGAATGTCACCGACAAGGTGTGTGAAAATATGTTTTTCTTGACTGTTGTTATAACTTCAATAGGTTATGTGTTGGGGTATGGAACTGTTTGAATTGGATTTGTTATTTTTCCAAATTTGAATTTATGCAGCACAAAAATGTGAACTCAAATGTCTTTGTTATAAGAAGTGAGTCCTTCCCTAAAAGCTCAACTTTAATAGGAGTAGTAGTCCAAAGTCTTTAGCTTGGGTTGTATTTTTGTACGTGACCTGCAGGAGATGACTTAACTTGTTCACAAGATGGTGACATGTTGAAATTCACCAATTTTGAAGTTCATACGCTACTTGTATAGGCTTACAAGAATCATATTATTTGTCACTACATTAAGACCTGAGGCTACATCCTGAAAGGTTAACTGCGGAGTGGAGTACACCATTTTAGAAACACATGTGTTTTCTGAGTCTTAGTTGGATAGATTGCTCATTTGAGCTTACCATTCTTTAACAACATATTAATACTTGGGGTTCCAAGTGTCTTCGTAATAATAGTTACATTCTAGACTCTTCTCAAATTAAGCATCAATTTATGTGAGGCAAGGTTTTGCCACTCTCAATGCTGACAAGATTGTGTTAACTAGTCTACTTGCCAGCTCCTATATACGAACCTGTTGTCACCATGCTTTCTCGGCCCAAATCATACAGAAATAACACGTGGTTTGAACTAAGTATGTAATGAATTACATATGAATACTTGTTTTTTGGTTAAATATCATACCGAAGTTAAAACAAGACACGATACATCAATTCTTTGATGATCATATTTTCCCAATTGAGGTATTCCAATTGTACCAAATAGCAAAGTGGTGGATCTGTGGTTTGTGGTGTGGTCTTCTATTTTCTGTCCTTTTCCCCTCAGAATAGCTATAAATGCATGTAAAGAAGAGTCCACATATGCCATTTGTCATGCTTTGTTAGATTGCTGATCTTGAGATGTATTACCTTTATCATCTTTCCAGATATTATTTGATGCTATACTACTTTTTATAGCTGATGTGCATGTAGGGTTTTTATATCATTAAAGTATCTAACATGTTCATTGTAACAAATAGTACTACTTATAAATTAAGATGCTCTTGTAAAAAGCCCTATTCCAGTAAAGAGTTAACAATGTTGAACAATTTTGACAAAAATAATAAGAATGTTGAACAAATTTAACAAAAAAAGGTTAACAAGAAATTAAGGAAAAAACCAAACTCCAAAAACCCTAAATTGGGTGTGTGAGATATGATGAGTTTGTAGAAGTATATAGTTCGTCACCCCCTCCCCTTTCGAGCTCCCTCAACCAAACACAAAAGACTCCTCCACTTTGCTCATCTAGCCTCTTTCCTCCAAAGTCCTTCTCCAAGCAAGGACTTGTGTTGTCCGTAATGTACCTCAGCTCATCCTCACTCAGCTACTTTTACATTAGCATCTAACATTCTATGTCATTCTATGACTTAGTAGCTCACCAGCTATGTGTTTATTTGTAGCTCTAAGTTATTGTGCAACTATATTTAGGCAGCGTTCCGTTCAAAATTACTTATTCTTGTTATAACCAGACTAGATCAGATCAGATTAGATCACACCATATCAGACCAGATCAAATCTTCAAAAAATCAGATCAGGCAAATGGAACGCAGCCTTAGTTCCAATTTTTGGTCAATAGTTCAACTATATCAATCATTTTATTTTAATTCATATTATTCCTCAATTATTAGCTTGCAAAATGGATACATGAAGATTTCTTAAAATGTCTTCATATTATTAATTTTCCACCTTAGAACACTCATAAATTGTTTGAATAAATTTCAGGGGGAAAAGAAGAGGTCATTTCAAATTTTCTTGAAGCAATTCCTAGTTGTATTTCAAAATTGGGAGCCGGTTAGTATTGAGCAATCTCGAAATGTTGTTAATTCTGCATCTACCACGGAGGTTGCAAAACAAGGCCCTGATGTTGTACTTGGCTGCACATTTGGTCATCCTGCTGAAATAGTTCTATGTTTAACTGAAGATCTTGCACAAATTACCAGCATTATCAATGAATGTAAGTTGGAATGTTGGAATGTTGGATTTATAGTTTATGGAACTCTGTGCGTGATTTTTAAATATAAATCTGGAAATCTTGCTGGTGGTAACACCTTGCCTCTCCTGGTTTTTTATTGGACTGCCACTATATTTACATACTATCTTAGTGGTTTTCCTGTATTTGGAAGGAATGTGTAGGGTTTTTTTGATAAACAGGAAGTTTTTACATCCCTACAATTCTACAAATTGACTTTGCTAGGTTGAGTTTTCCAAAAAAGAAAAAAAGAAAAGACAAACCGGACATAGCCTTTATCCACCAAGGAATGTGTGGGTAATATTGGACTAAGTTATGCACGGACTAATATGTTCTGGCAGAAAAAGTTTTAGATGTGTGATTGTGAGTAATTTGTGGAAGTTGCATCACTGTGGTTGTTTCTGCTCAATTGGTCTTCTGATACTGTAATCATTATTTGTTTAACAAGTCCCCTACAATAATATGATTAACTCCATAATAATGCGGTTGAGCGCAGACCAGTTAGGAGCTTTGTCTACCATAACATCTGAAGGTATTCCCGTGTTGGATGCTTTGACTGTTGTGGTCCGTTCATTGCACAATTGCCGACTTTTTGGATACTATGGTGGGATCCAAAAGATTACTGCATTAATGAAGGGTACAACTTTTTTCTCGCTTTTTGTTTAACTATTTCATTGGTTGTATTGTTATTGTTGTATGTTTGTCTCAAGGGGGTGATTTGATCTCTTCTTATTGCAGAGCTAATCCATCCCTGATCTTTCTTACTAGTTTTTACATGCTCAGAATTATTTTCCTTTCCATTTGAACTTTTATATCCTGAAAATCTAAAAAAAGACTGAGGTTATTGAGTATTACTAATTTTCAGCCACAGTTGTGCAACTCAAGACCATTGCTAGTGCACTTTCAACAGATGGAAATTTGTCAAACGATGTTGTGGAGAGGACTGCAATTTTTCAAAATGTTCTAGTACGTGCTGTCTCTATAATAGGCAGCTTTATTAATTTGCACTCAAACATATATAAGGCTCATCTAAACAGCAGTCACTTGGAGTTTTTTGTCTCAAGGGGCAGCATGGAAACAACTGAACATTCCACAGATGTGAATGGTTCTCTCACTGAAGAATTGTTGCTGTGGCATAAAAAGGCAGTTGTGTCGGTAATGGAAGCAGGTGGCCTTAATTGGTTAGTAGGTAAGGTAGGCGGCTTCTTTTGTTTTTCTTCTCCAATTTTTAAGGACATGTACGTAGTGCATAATTTAAATAACTCAAATTATAATAATATTTATTGAACAAGAAGTATTCTTCAAACATAACATTTTGGTCTCATTTATGTTTGATCAAGGTCATTGATAGTTTACTGCTCTTAAGATCTATGTTCATTTATTTCTTTGTTGTGGTCCTTGGCTCCTTGAATTGCAAAAACAGTTTAACATGTAACTTTGGTCTCTGTATATTTTTGAAAGTTGAAGATGCAAAACGTTCCAAATATGAAACACATCAGGACACAACTTTCACCTGATTTCGTTAGGCCACCATTGCACTTTTTGCTCAAAAACACGGTTGGCAAGTAACACTAGCCATCCCGCAAATGCTCTTTCAATTCCTCCTTAAACCTGGAATTGATTGAAAAATTTCTTTCTTCAAGTTTAGTTATGAGTTTCCTAAAAAATTGCCTAACATGAGTACATGACAACAATTACAGTAGGTCTCTTCACTTTCCATAGGCTTGTGAAACAGACAAATACTCTGTTGTCACTCATTATTTTTTACTTAGAATGATTCTCGATTCTTGTGATTATCTGTCGGGTCATCAAGTGCTTTCCTTAAAGGAGTTAAAGCACATATCATCTCTGATCAAACTAACCGACTATGGATGTGCCATTTATAGTGAAATTGTACCCATCATCAATGGCTATTTCAAACGACAATGGCTTCGCTGATGCATCACTATCAGCTTTCATTGTATTTTTAATTCTGAGAATGGGTTGATATGTGAATGGATTTGGGTTGAGAGAAATAAGAAAGAAGCTGCACACAAAACAAAAAAGCTTCAATGGGCTAACAATTTCAAGACTCTCAATTTGCAAGCATTGGTTGTCTTCGGCATGCCGAAAGGAGTGCAAATCAGAGTCTTTGGCCACCTTCACAATCTTTTTGTTAATTCCAAATCTGGTTGTGACAATGCAGATTCACACTCTTCATGGCGAGCAAGAGAGGACCAATGTTTGGGAATTGGTGCGTGTGTGTGTGGGGAGGCTGGTCTTGAAGATGTTAGCCGTCTGAAGCCTTCTCGTATTGTATGCAAATTGTCCTCCTATGTTGCTCCCAACCCAAATTCATTCCCGTAGGATCATGCCACTCCCTAAAGGAAAGGTGACGGCAATGCATCTTTTAAGCCATTATGGATGGAATTAACTTATGATGAGTCAAATTCCACTCTAAATAACACATTCATAGTTTTGAATTTGTTACAGAGATGAAATCTGCTTTGAGGAAATCACTTTGTTGATGGCTACTCACAAGGACCAAGAATCACTGAAGGCAAATGATAAAGTGATAGTGAAGTTACAAGAGTATAAGTTATAACAATAAGTTAGGAACGAAAAAAGTCTTTGTCTACTTCACAAGCCTAGTGGGATTGTGGAAGACAAGACGTATGGGGAATGCTGTCATGTTAGGGGTCATTTTGAGGGACTAGGAGTTAAAATTTATGAAAGGGATTTGTTGATGCATTCTAGGTTTAAGGAGGAATCAAACAACTTTTGAGGGATGATACAATGGTGTCTGCATGCCAAGTCTGTTCATGAGCAAAAAGTTCATCGGCGGCGTCGATGAAATCCGGTTCAATCCCCAAAAGTATATTTAAAATTTCAAGATCTTGCCATCACAATGTGTTGTAATAACTGTTGCTTCAGCTGTAGTATTCCTTCAACGCCATGTCGCGTGATAACAATATTGTCAATATAAACAAGTTAAATATATACTCTTGTATACAAGTACAGAGCTGCCCTCCAACTACCAATCTAGGTTTGAACAGGATCATGTAACACAGGCTCTAAGTTTAAACACAAAGTCCTAAACAAAGTTCTAACTTGAAGTCCTAATTAAAGCTCTAACACCTTGAGTCTTACGGTCTTACCTGAACACAATTATATGTACTCCCTATGTCCGAAAATATTCGTGTCTTTACAGATAACAAGGTTTGACTGAATTTATTTTTAATCCAATTTATTTAAATAATGGTACAAATTTTAAAATAAAATTAATATGTTAAAAAAGTACATCAAAATAATCAACAAATATAAGTAAAGAGA